CATTGCACTTTAGCAAAGTGTTGTGCATCGTTTATCACTAAGATGAAAATCTAAGAGTCTTTCGAATGTCGTCATGTCTGGTGCGTTCACCACATAGTTTTGGTAATGCATTCCAATGAGAACAGATACTAAATGAGAAAAAATACTTTCTACAATTCAAACGAGAGTGTTGCGTCATTATTTTCGGGTGGTTGCCTCGGTTTTTTTGTATGGGGTTAGAGTCAACAGTGATGTACATGGATGCTTGCTTTCGGTTAGTATTCGGTATTCTAATGAGAACACACCGAGTACACGAAGACGCATTTCTTAACTTATACCGGATAGTCCACGCGTTGCCTTTGTGGCTCTTCTTTGGGGCTGTTCCAAGAGGCGGATGTCTCGTTTTAACCATGGACACCAGGCCTGAATTGCATATTCAACATGAGGACGAATGTAGGAGTTAATCAACAATGGTACTAGCCGTTGCTCAAAAGTGCCGAGAGCTCGCCTCAAAAGTCGCAAGTTCAAGTTCGCCACACATGCTGCTTTCGAACATTGGAGCGAATTTCCAAGACTCTCTTGCACGATTATACCTAGGTCGCGTTCACTAGTCACATTTTGCGTGACGTGTTGCCCCAAAAGGTATGTGTTAACGAAGCTGTTGTGCATCGTCAGCTGGTGGCACTTTGCAGGGTTCAGTGGGAGCTGGTTCTTTTCTGCCAATTCGTTAATCCGGGTCAGATCTTCCTGGAGCTAGACACGGTCGGATGCTGAGCGAATTGATCCCTTTATTTTAGCTTCGTCTGAAATGTTTGCATTGGAGATAGAATGTCTGCTGGAAGGTCATTAATGTAGACTAAAAACAGTAGCGGGCCGAGGACTGATCCTTGTGGTACACCACTGGAGACGTAAAGGCTTTCAGAATAGGTGTCGGCTACTCTTATCTTGATTGCTCTGTCGTGTAATAGTCTTCCAACCAGGTCAGCAGGGGAACCTTTGATACGGTAGGCAGCAAGCTTTTGGAACACACACGGGATTCTCCTATCGTTCCAGCCCCACCCGAACTTGAACTTGAAAACTTATGATCATTAGTACTACAGCCGTGTATATGTTTCTTTTGGAGGTCTAGCCAACAGCCATTTTCTTACGCATGAGAATAAGTACTCACTATGAACTCTGTTATTTTTTAACATTTGGAAGTAACCAAGAAAGACAGCCCTAAATCTTGGTAATCAATATTTTAACGAAACTAATATAGGAATAGTGAGAAAGCTGCCATTAGTACGGTTACTAAGTAGAATAATAAATCAATGAGTGGTACAGTAAAATAGTACGTACTTAGATGTTACCTCAAATATGCACAGTATGGTTTACTTAGCTGATGGGGAAGATCGCAAAGCATGCGAATGCGATGGGGTGTACAATTTATTTCCTCCATATCGCCGACCGGTCCGTTCATCTTGCACCCCAGGGAAATGCAAATTCTCATAGAACGACTGGTACGCAACCTTAAGCGTTGACAGGTGTCGATACCACGTATTCGCCGCTTACGGCCTCGTTGGCAAGAAAACTACCGCAGCACTACATCAAATCACTTCCGCTGAACCCTGTCAAAATGTGACTTTCCAAACAGTGTTCGAATTGATTTGCAAATTTCCAAGATGTAACATGGCTATCAGCCAAATGCTCAACCATTTGTATAAAACGCTCTGAACTCTGCTGTGGGGAAAAGCTATTTGGTAACTATCGGAATCGTACTACTCATGCGCAGCCATTCGGTGCTCCTAAAACGATTGTCGATATGCATCAGTTCCTTTCCGACGTAAAGTACCGTTACACTAGCTTACCGTTTCCGTTGAGCTTAATCTTCTTATTCTATCCAGAAGATGGGCCGTATAGAACGTAACTTGTGCTAAGCGTCTCTGTGCGTCCGCCTTCAGTCTATTTCGTACTTGTGTTGTCATAATCCTCGATTAATTCACTATGGCCGATGAATGACGGGAAATATAACTGTGCTCACTCTCATCACTAACCTGTGGAGCGTAACATGAACTGTCGCCATCAGGGAAATTTCTCTTCGGATGCACAGTCCAATTTGGTCAAACGAGGGACAATCGTTGAGCATTGTGCTCCAAATTTCAAACTTTACAATTACGCATACTACCGTAAGTGGCCAATCGCTGCTAATCTTTTGCTTCAGTAGTATCCGTCAAACATGAAACATACTTGATAATATGCCACCATAGCATTGCTCCGTATCAACAATACAATTCGCTCGGAAACTCTGCGCGCACGTCAAATACGAATGAGCTCATGGATGGAACGAACATTATTCTGCGATATACCGGCTCTCTTAGCGTCGTGTTTGTTAGCCTTGAGCAGTCGGTCAAGCTAGGGTCCTGGAATCTACAAATCGATTTCAATTAGCAGAATGTAGATAGCATAGTCTGGTGAGTAATACCATGGAGCATACATGGTGATGTGAATCGCGGCAAAATACTAATACGAAGTGGAAGATGCCGTAGCTCACCGTCTCGGTATGTCACACTACTGGAATCCACTTGAGAAAATAGCAAGAATAGCATTGGTCATGATGAGTACAACAGTGCAGCGTGCAACATGTGAAATCATCACGAAATACTACCAAGTTAATTAAGCCCAATAAAGGTAGGTTAGATGTGGATCATCCGTTCTAGGAAGGTGCAATATAGCCACTATTTTGCACCAAGTCAGTAGTTAATCATTCTAGAGTGAAACTGTACCCATACGCGACTTACACGAGAGATAGAATACGGATGCCACAAAGTGTATGACGGAGATGGAGTAAGCAACTTTACAATTTAGCAGGATATGGTGCGATTAAGTTCACTGATTTTTATAAGCTCACCTAAACTAAGGTCCGCAGTGAAAGAACGTGAATCACAGCCGTGCTCACTTTAAGGAAGAAGTAGAAACACAGTGGAACAGTGAAGATTATCCTTGGTGTGTGCTCTGAATGCCGTCGCCTATATGAACTGCGGGCTATCCGTGTCGGAAGCTAAACCAGAGCCGGTCCAATCGTTTATTCTCTGAGGTGAGCAAGAATTAATAAGTATTTAGAACCACCAGGCAGTCCGTCGTGTGGTGCTATTTATTTCCCCTTGGTCGGTCGTTCTGAGCGCTAGCATTTCTCGACCCATACATCAGTTCGAAGAAAGTAGAAGCCACGATTAAAATCCACGCAGAATAATATGCCTCGACGGGGAGTCGAACCCCGGCCCACGACTCCCCGTCGAGGCATATTATTCTGCGTGGATTTTAATCGTGGCTTCTACTTTCTTCGAACTTTACACTACTCACAAACATCCACCATACATCAGTGCCTAGAATGCTACTTGTGCGCTAAAAATTTGATTTGCTTGTCACATCGTGTTGCCGCTGTTCCGGAATCAACATTGATGGCTTGTTTGAATTTCAGTACGTTTACCTGAAGGCGGCAGCAATAAGTCACAGTGTGTCACATGAGAGGAAATGTGATAAGATCCACGTGTCAAGTGTGCATGCAGCGAGACACGAATAAATGTTAGCGCGACCTGTACTCTAGGCGAGCACCAGTTGAGCTTCGAGACAGTAGATAATGGTGTCACGCGAGTGAATATGCGATCTGTCTTTAGAGGATCAAGCGTGGCGTTTACACGTGCTTCTAAATGGTTTCCACTTAATCATTCCACATGGTGAAGAGCACTGCCTGCTGCAAGTAGGGATATTAGTTGACATATCAAGAGTCACTGTTTCGAGTTGCAGTAATGCAGGGTTGCGAGCGGACATTTGTTCACACTTGTGTATGGACAACCACAAACGGAATGGAGAGATAGTAACATTAATGAATCATAACACTATGAACGTGCAAGGGTTTGGATCGACTGTAAGAATAATAGCCGAATTCCTATAGTTTTGAAAAAGCGCACGTACAACTATGAGCAACCAAGACGACTGTCAGTGTTTAGTTAACGTTTGGACTGGAATCTAAATTGCCGCCTTAAATGTAGTCAGAAGCTTCGGTGTCAACAATTGATACAGACAAATATAGGAATAGGGAAGCAAATGCCATCAGTAAGGTTGTCAGATGATATGATGCAAAAATAATTGATACAGTGATATATTATCCTCAATATGTGCTGTAGATGCTGTCCGACATATGCGTTAGAAATCGGTAATATCACACATTCGCTGATGGCATCTTTGACGCTGTCACATCATTAACACATCTAGTAAATTCCGCTGCGTCCCGTCCTGTATTCGGCTTTTGATATCTGTTCAAACAGCTTTTGAAAATTTACGAAAAGTAGCTTATATAAGATCCAAATGGTCAGCCACACACAGATGTGCTGATTAGTTATTTACTAACAATCTCTCATCATACATCTTGGTTGCAGCCATTCTGCGTTATAAATCAATTGTTTCTGTGATCGGACTTATGTTTTAATGAAATATACTAAAGCACTACCGCACCATCAAAGTTGAACTTACCCACTTCTAGGTAAATCCAAAGGATCGGATATTTTGAATAAAAATCCTAAAAGGCACCTTTACCTTTCGGCCACTTATGTCGATTATAGCTGCCTTTTCCTAAGCCCATCTAAGTTCAGTATGACGGTGTAATAGCGGAAAATATAGCTACACTCAACCTTTTGAATAATATGTGGAACAGAACATATAGTATCAATGTCAGCATGTTAATCGCTAGTCAGTTACTTGCGGGGATTGTTCAGTTTACACGGACGAGCCAAAGTGCGGACACTTGCAAAGAAAGTTGTTGGGCCTTAAACCCTCAAAACTATAGTTAACTACCAAGTTTGGACAGTGCAGTAATAACATTTGATGAATAACCAAGCGCTTTGCAACTGAGTACACTTACAAATCATGACATTTGAAAATAATTATAACGAATCGATATTATATACCCGTATAAAAATATTATGCAAATATTTTCTTGGTTGCATTCTTTTAACTCAGATTCACCGCGAAAGGTATTCAGTTTTTTATAAACTGGAACATTTAGTAAGTGTAGTAAACCCACTTTGTTCTGCCTGAAGTGAGAGCTGTTCTATTGCGCATTTTACCGCAACCACAGAATTATTTTTCAGTGCCAATCCATGGATTGCATCTCCTGTGCGGATGTCCTCATAATTGTCTCCAAGATTTGCTTCATTAAATGGCACCTTTTTGGAATCATCTGTTAATGTATTTAACAACGTGTCTACAGAGTCCAAGTAGGCGGAAGCTCCATCCAGTTCCTGTAGAAAAAGTTGCTCCGCTTCTTGTGCTCTTGCAATGAGAGGCTGAGATACCTGATAAATTATGAAACGATGTGTATGCTTTGTAAAATCGTCATACTTTCATTGTCTGGTCAAAGGTATTAATTTTATCGAGGGTAAGATACGCTGCACTATAAGACATACACAGTATACTAATGTACAATGCAAACTTGCCAGGATGAATGAGGACGGATCCCTTTCTTTCAGCATTTCGATGCAAAACTGTATCAGTCCAGTGGAACGGGATAGTAAATCTGTCACATGGGATGTTTGTGCCTTCAGATCAAGCAGCTTTGACTCTCGGTGCTCGCGTAGCCGAGTGGTAAGTTCAGACATTTTTGTCTCCAAGGCCTTGATTAACTCGTTAATCTGCGATTTGATCATAGTTTCGGAGTCCAAAACCTTTCGCTGCAAATGAGTGACAATCAAGCAACTTGACAAAAATAGTTTTACCGGTTTCTTTTGCGAATTATCCAAGGAACATACTATAAACTTATAAAGCTTCAACTCCCTCCCCACCAAAGCATCCAGCTTGATATGTCATAAAGGAAGATTTATTATTAAGTTTTGATTAAACTTCATCTTTTAAACATTACTTGGATATTTTACCATGGGTACATGTTGACTTGGGTATCTATTTAGACACACGGCTCATAAGACATGTAGCAAATCCGTACCTTGCTCACAATAAAATTTTCTCGTTTTCCGAGAAACTACGCTTAAAGTGGTACAGCTATATTTGAACAAAGGTAACCATATAATGTTGGGGAATGTGTTTCATGTAATAACGTGTTACTGGATTATTTAAACCAAATCTAAGGTTTGAAACCGTTGGCATTTAGACTTGTTTGGACGCCAATTGGAACAGCGCGTAGAGAGAGGCATTCAAAAGTATATGCTTATCAGTGCATGCAAGTCAAGTTAACTAGAACACTTGTTATTAAAGGTTTCCAACGTTTCATATGACCTTGGCGGGTTAGCAGTTATTTCCAGAGATATGTCTATCCAACCAGTAAGAAATTCGGGAGCATACTTATTTGCGCTGTTGTTGTCGTCAAAATATACTCGGTTGCGAAACCTTCGCATTCGTTTCTGTGGAATATCGATTGTAGACCGAATGGAATAAGCAGTTTGATTAGCATGTTATAAAGCAGAAACATATTTAGCTTCATTCTTCAAATCCAAAGTGGTTCCGGTTGAAGTTTGCTGCAACATATTCGTTAGTTCATGCCAGAGTGCTTACTAATCAGATATTTATTAAGCGACCTCTGCAGTCGTTCTACAGCAATTCTGCCACAGTTTGTATTATTATCATAAATTATGCCACAGTATTCAAGGGTGAGGTGGGTGAGTAGCTTATAATGATCTTATCTGGCAAGCTGTTTGTGGATATGTCGTATAGATTAAACACAGTTTGACTGGATCCTGCTACTTGGTATTAGGCCTATAAGGAGAAACTGTAGGTAGATATATACTTACTTCCGCGTTCGTTCGTCAAAAGATTATGGAGACATTCCTATTTTTAACGAAAACAGAACTACTTGGTAACAAAAACTCTAAAACATGACGTGATGTCAGCAACAAATATACTGGGACTCGACCAACTTTTAAAATTGGGATGCATTCCAAAACAAGGTTGAAAGTTAAACACGATGTTGTGCAAATAGAAACTAATGTTTAATACTGGCACACCACAAAAATACACGTTAAGTACGGAAACAGCAAGGTCTTAACATGGGACACAATAAATACAAAGCACCTTACTTGTCACTGCACAGCATGATCATAAAACATACGTCCGCCAGCCGAATTCCAATGCTCTTTAATTAGATCACACGACCATGCTCGGTAGTTTCACTTTTACAGCGCAGTGGGATGCAATGCGTTGGGTTCTCTGATTAAGTACAAGTGGGTTGGGATAAAGGTGTCTCGGGGCAAATTTGGGGTGGATGGTATAGCTGGCAGAGGTGTCCATGGTGCGAGAGGGAATCAGTGCCCACAGATGTGTTTGACTGCTGAGTAAGTTGCGAAATGTGGGAGCGAACGATTAAGACAGCGGCGTTTGGAATGAAGCCGTGCGACGTCGATTAGGAAGTCAAAGTTATTTTGAAATACATTTGACAGGCCGAAGTTTAGCAGAGAGCGCAGGTGTCAGGTGCGGTTATCCAGAGCAATATCCCAATATCCAATATCTCACTCTGTCGCAAATCCACGCGACTTTGTTTTCATTGAGCATCCGCAGTTTACAGTTCCGTTTGGTACTATTCTGAATGTAACCAAAATTATTTCGTGTTGAATTTCTCCAAGCATTGAGATTACTTCCTGAGAATTACTATGCCATTCAGTTTCATTCTTGATTTTGAATTGCTCGACCGAACGTCTTGTAGTGTCATATTTAAGTTCAGGAATTTGAGAAGCACTTCATTTTTCACAGTTTGTCGTCTTCTTTGTCTTGGATGATTTAGAATACCAAGACATCGCACTGTGGTACATGTTACGAGTTCTAATACCGATCTTATGCAAACTACAATCCATAACGAACGTCGCATCTGATTCACTGGTTATCCAGAGTAATATCTCCATATCCAAATTACCATGTGCTTGGTAATTGTACCATTTGCAAATAATGCTTTATTTCTTAGCCGAGATGTTCAGCATACCCTGGGGTATCATGCCTCATGGGAACCTAAATCATCACGAATGAGCAAAAGAATTCCGCTAATTTGGTCACGCCGAAGCCTATAAAAGTTGTTGATATAGTCAGCGACTAAAAATAGCCGACCATGCTTTGTAGACACGGTGTTATCAATGACGTATAACAAGAATCCTGAGTGACCGAGAGCGCTACATCTGATCGCTCTACTGGTGATAGGGCATGAATATCAGCGATCATAACCTACTGTGACTACCTGTGGCAACACAACAGCTAGGAAGAAGCCAATACAGTATTTTAGCTAGGAAATAAAAAGGTTTTAACATTTGTATCAACTGCGTGTAAGTTACACAAGCGAATGTCTGCTATATATTTAAAACAGTATTACTAAGCAATGCGGGTATAGGCAGATTCTGAAATACGCACGATCATTGATCAAGAAAGCAAAGCTGCGTTTCCTCCTTCTCGGCCAACTACTCAAAGAATACATTCATACTATTTTTGACCAGCTTTTCAAATAATCTGCTAATTGTAGTTGTGTAATGGATTGGGCGATAGTTCCAGAGGTAGACAAATATTTAATTACGTTACGTGTATAAACAAGGTTGCCACATTTTTCGCTTAAGGTGCAAAATTTTTGTATCTACAAAAGGAAGGTCGGCGTTGAATATTTTTTATTCGGGAACCAATCAAGTATGACATATCGCTGGTATCTATTTCACTGCAGCTGGGCAGAAATTTCGCAATGTCTACATAAATGTTTAATTTAGGCACTTCACGTTTTTGCCCCTTAATAACCTAGTGTCGATCTTATTAACTTGCACTATGGTGTGAATCGATTTGTATCTCAGCACTATCTGCAAACAAGTAGAATATATTACTAAAAGCAGTTACGTGTCAAGAACGTAAAGTGGTCTACTGAACTATAATTAAGTCAGGCATTACTCGTCGTGGGATTTCGATGCTTTGGCAGTTTTAATTTCTGAATAGATATGCATTTCATAAGAAGAAATTCTGCAGCACCACAAACATGCAACCAGATTACTTCATGCAGTAGTATCTCAAAAAAGGTACGTTGCATTCGCAAGTCCAAAGCACATAATTTAAGTAGCTATAAAAAATAAAGAGATAGCTTGCAATATCGTGCAAATAGCTCTGAGCCTTAAACGGCTACTCCTGTAATGTATAAAGGTTATCTTACTGAATGTGCAAAACTGGGAAGCAATAACGTGTTGCAAAACTATGGTGAGATAAACGATTTCTGCCTAGTTTTAAGAATTTTGTAAAGTTTCCCAATGAGTATTTGCTTATTTTCCACAATGAAGGGAATCAGTGGAAGATAGTTTATGCTAAACATGGTCCGCAAATTGCTATACTCAAAAGCAACATGTTGTTTATTGGCAAGTATCCCAAAGTGGGTAAAAGTAGCAGCTTATTAGAAAGTAATGCCCATCAGTTCAGGATGACAATTGCACTCAACCGCTGTATTTGAATCCCCGAGTGCAATTTTATTACAGTCATGCTTTTGATCATCGGGAGTAAGTCATAATTTTTATCAATTTCTGCAGCTGAGTGAATGCTTAACATTTGGCGCAGCCAAATGATTTCCAATCATGCAAGTCACAACACTCCTAGATGCTACAAATGTCACAAGTGTGATAAAAGTAACTTTTAGAAATGTCAGCGTCTTGCTGTTATTAATGGGTTACTTCTTTATAATTTGAGTTAAATAATTCAGGGTTATGGATGAACCCTATACGGTAAAGTGGCCGTTGCGTTCCAATCTGGTATCTTGCCTATGTCAACAATCAAAGAGAGGTACTGAAAAGCGAACGTTAGACAAACTCCGCAAAAATAAAATTCCTGGGGTAGCTGCATCTAAAAGCTATCAGGTAAATGACCTGTTAATTTAGAGAGCATTCACGTTATTTCATGTCTGCAAAATGTTTGACAACGAAAAATCTAATTTTCGTCATCGGCTTTGTCTCCAGTATCTTTGGCGGCAGGTTGAACGGTATATTCAGTACTCTCAACTAGAAAACTCTTTGTGGACGTCCCGCTTCAAGTCAGGTATGACAGCATTGTACCGGAGTCCTCGCTCTTTTCCTGGCGCGCTCATCTGGAGCAGTGATCTCAACATAGGGTACTAACCTTGATGTAAAATCTTGTGCGTCATGATGGTGTCAACCAGCCTTCGACGACAATGTAGAGTGTAAAGTTCTAGTATCCTGCACTGGTCTTCTTAGGGCACAACGCATAACGTTGCATGGGCCTGGTGGCCACAAGCTGTACCCAAACAAAATTCCTACATCGCCGCGGGCGATAAGACAGGGAGCAGGTGAGCCGTACTTCATGGCCTTGAATTAACGAGCAACTTAATCACGCATTTGTGAACTCTTGGGTTTTTGCTTTATCTCAGTAGCATTTTATCGCATACTATTGGACCTATACCCATTTGTCTTTTTTTAAAAGCTCTATTTTAAGGTATCATTTTATCGCGTCCAATACCGTGCATCCTGCAGTTGCCTTACTTTATAAACTCCGGGCAGTGGTTTACATAAACCCATGTGCAAATGTTGTACAATCGCAATCGCTGGACTCCCAGTTTGTTCTCACTCGATAGAGCATTTCACCCGCATTATAGCAAGTGCTGACTCGTTCCTTCCCGACGATGCGTGATTAAGCTACAGAGTAATCTTATATTTTTTCGCATCAAACCGCAATGAGCATCTAGGACTTGCGATCAATAGACCAA